TACAGAGGGACAGAAACGCACTACTCCTCGTTGACCCAGAAGAGAAGATACGCGAAGGTGCTATGAATGTAATCGGTCAGGGCACAACGCAGATAATTGTCCCTAGAGTAAATGTTTCGAATGTGGGGACAAAAGCCACGTGGCTAAGTCATCCTCAAAAGTCATCCCATATCCCATGAAGGTAAACACCCACACGACGAGACGTTATAGGGATACTTCAACTTCGAGCTTGAAAGAATATTCCGAAAAAATCTTTAATGATGAAGAATGTGACCAGAATTACAGTTGGTCGAAACTGAATGAAAAATGCGGAGGAAAAGACAAGTCAGAGGTACAAACCCAAAAAAATCAAAAAGCGGAAGGAAAGAAACTACTAGCATTTGAGAAGTCGAGGGCAACCCAGGAAGACAACAGTTGGTAAATAGCGTGTGCCTATTGTGCAGGGGTGCAACGAAGGGATTAGAGCGCTAATCGATACGATACTAGGAGTACCAGTACCTAGGTCAGCAGAGGGGTGTTGAAGAGACTGGATTTTAAGTATGTAAATGTTCCGTTATCACTTAGAGTGATCCTTGCAGAGTATTGGGAGAGTATGTATGGGAACTCGAGAATCTCACAGGGGTTAAAATAGGTACAGTTGTCCATGTGTTAAAGGAATTGGGTAGTAGAGAAAAGGAGACAAAATCAGCAAGGGGAACCCTCATTTCATTTAGTAATAGATTACAGAAAACTTAATGACAACACTGTGGAGGAACGGTACCCCCTTCCCAGACTTGAAGAAATATTAGATCGCTTAGCAGGAGTCCGCGTTTTTTCCACCCTAGGTCTGAAATCTGGTAACCATCAGGTGAGAATGCAAGGATATTGAAAAAAACAGCATTCTTCAAGTTTGGAAGGGTTCAAAAATGTGCCACTCACCTTTCAAAGGTTAACTGATGAGTTTCTCCGTGGGCATTTATATGGACAATCTTATAGTCTTTAGCTCATTTCCCTCGCACCTTATAGGTCATCTCAAATTGGTCTTTAGGTGCATTCAGTTTAAAATTGTCAAAAGAGAAATCCCATTTCTTTCAAGCTGAAATAAAATTTTTAGGACATATCATTTCTGAACAAGAGGTCAAACCAGATCCATCCAGGGTCGATCCATCGTTCGGAGACAGCCACCAACTAATCAAAAGGAACTTAAAAGTTTAGTGAGCATGATAAATTATTATCACAAATTTCTACCCCTGCTCACATAATTTTACTGCTCACTTAGCTATTAATCTCTTTACTGATGAGCATGTGAATAGCTTTTATAAAAGTAGGGACTGCGGAGCCTGTTCCGGGATTCCCAGATTTCCAGAACGGATTTATAATAACAGCTGAAGCAAGCGAAAAGGCACTTGGGTGGTATAATCGCAGGAATCGAGTACTGGGGATAGATCTGTGGCCTTTGTCAGCAGAAAGTTGTATGATATCGAGTCGAGATATAGTGCACTGGAGCGAGAACTTCTAGCAATTGTTTGGGCAGTTGATCATGTTGGTCCCGACGTGTTCGGAAAAAAGTTTACCCTTCGTACTGATCATAAACCTTTATTGTGGACGGAAGAGAAGAAAGAAATAATCTTTGGCTAGAGTAGGGTGTTGGAAAGAGAAATCATGAACATATAATTTTCAAATTTTGCATCAAAACGGCTACGAAATGTCGCAGATTGGCTGTCTCGGGCACCTTCCACGGATGCTGCTAGGGATGACTTGTCCCACGGCGATGAGGATGAAATTCCTGCAAACACCCGAAATCCGGATTTTAGGTAAATGAATACTATCGTTAACCAACACTCACAGCAGATAACAAAACGCCCACGGAGGGCACGTCACGAACAGAATTTATGAAATACGGCCGTCACAATATTGTGACCGTATGGACCGTTCCCTCGGTGACACCGGCAGACACTGTTCGAATACTTCAAGATATTACCAAGCGGGGCAAGACGCATTACTTGTATCTGGGAAATAAAACTGTTTCAGACTGCAATAAGCACTTATCCGAACAGAGCGTATAGATGTCGATAAGAACCTCATTTTTTGTTCGAAAATCATGGACACTATTAAGAGATCCTGAGAGGCAAAAAGAATTAGTAAAAACTTATCACGAGGATAAAACCAACCATCGAATAGTCCCTGAAACCCTTAACCCTTGCCGCGTTACTCCGCAGATATTATTGGCACCATATGCTATGCGCCAATCGATTAGAGAGGTCCTTCAAGCATGCACGATGTGCCATGGTGCAAAATATGATAGATATCCCATTACTATCCATCCAGAAGTGTCCCAATCTCCTAATTCACCGTTATTGGACGTTCAGGACGATATATTTACCTGGGAAGGGTCGCACTGGCTAACAGTCTAACATTTCTGCAAATTAGGCATGGCATATCCGCTGCTAAATAAAACGAAAGAAGCTGTTTGGGATGGTATGTTCAGCTGGATGTCATGTTATGGAGTACCACACAGTATTACGTCAGACCGTGGGAAAGAATTTCGGAACACCCGTACCACAACGGAATGCTCAGACTTGAACATAAAGTTGCATTTTAATTCCCCGGGTAAACCCAAAGAACGCTGGGCTATCTAACAGCTCTACAACACCATAGGGAACATCTTCGATGGTTCCAATTGCATAGAGGATTAGGAGAGAATGCGGCAATGCCTCGAGCGGTACTGGCATACAACAATACAATCCATTCCGCTACAGGTTTTAAACCCATGGAAGTAGTATTCGGTCATCTACTGCGGAATCAGAGAGACTTACTAATGACTGCATACACACAGACTACTGAATTATTACGAGACGCTATAATTCACAAACGTAAATAACTCGTCGCCATATTCCAGAGAATGCACAACAAATTTTTTCGGGAAAAAATTTCTAGAGCACCCTGAAACTGCTTAGCCTTACCGGACGAATCCCATAAACATTTCATTAGGCATGACGGTCTACTGCCAACCACAGTTCAGTTGTCGAAAGAGGGATCAACGATACGAAGGGCCATTCAAAGTGATAAAGTTGCGAGAACATTGTGTCTATTCAGGAACTAGAGAGAGCTCAGAGAGTGAGACATACCCATATACGATGCTTTCGCATCCCTCTGACTAGGTAGACAATATCACCTCAAGTGGTGATCTACAGAAACTGCATTGTAAATGACAATTTTTTTTTCTTTCCAGTCTAACTAGATTCACATTCAGTTACTCTATTCAAGGTTTAGTATTTATGTTAATTATAGGTTATTGTGTTCTTGTTTTGTAAATATTCTTTCTTAATTGTTGTATGTTTTATAATTGTTTGTACGCTTTATTCTTCACATAAGGACCTATCAATTAGTTTTTTGTAATTTTTCTTTTAGCTTTAAGGACTTGTATCTACTTATGTATTGACTTCTATCTTTTTGTATTCAGTTCTGTTTTAAGTTTTGTACCAAAGAACTCGAAGTTCACTTTGTGAACTGTGGTGTGGATGATAGGTAAACCATTGATAAATAGTTTATCAATGAATTAATTCAGATTTATAAAATATTATACAAAACATATGTTTAAATTATCACTGTTTAAAAATAAAAGTTAGTATTGTTCAAGCAGTTGCAGTGTTTACTTCATTTCCTACTACTTTACTTTTAATTTCTATATTACTAAGTAGCTTAACTTAGTATATATACAAACATAAAACCATATATTTATTTGCACATGCGCAACTTTAATATATTATTCAATTAAATTTAATGATGATTTTGGAACTCAATCGTGTTTAGTATACTGGAGTATGATATTTTATTCAATTTTTATAGTAATTATTTAAATTTTTTTTTAAACAGCTGAGATTTGGTGGTGACTTGTCAATAGGGAAATTATGGTTAATGATTCAGCAATATAATTAAAGACTATTAAATAACATCTCATTTAAATAAGGATACTGTAAACACAAATAAGGGCACTTCTTCTACTTATACTAAATTAGCTAAGAGCTATTACCTTGTAGACCCACAGGCTTGGGTTAAAAAATCATAATAAATAAATTATGACTGAAAATCCTGATTATTTATTATCCAAAATAACCTTCAAAACAGTCAAGAAAATTCATCTCTGAGGAAATTGTTAATTTTAATGTGATAACATATGAATGTTTCTTTTCTGCAAATGATTAAGAAAAAAAAAGAGAAGGAAATTGAAAAACAAAAAAAATAAAAATATTCAACAGTCCTAACATTCAAATATTATATTCATCACACAAACAACACATGTAAATTTTTTAAAAATTAAAATGCACAACAAATTATTTCAATAATAATTTTTGATAATAATTCAACATATTCTCTTGAGAATAGCTATGTGAATCATAAATTCAGGTGTTGATTTTTTTCATATCAGTTCCTCTAATGTAATTTGTTTGAATTTTAACCAAAAACTAAACTTAATCAATATCGCAGCCATAAAAGTTTAGATGATATGATTAATGTTCTAAGCCTATTTACTTTTCACATTATTAGTAATTGTAATACTAAAATGTGTTACAATCGGTCAAATTTAAATACACACCTCAATGTATAAAGTAAAAAACAAAGTAATTAAAATATAAATATAATGAATAGTGATCACAGGTAAAGATATTTAAAGAACAAATGACTAGTTAAAATTATATAATTTTTCAAGTACAAAAACTTCCTCATTATGTATTTTTTTATAGGAAAAAAATTAAGAACAAAATATAACATAAAAAAATCTTCATGTTGTAGTGTATTTGTACAAATACTAAAAACAAACAATTACTGCCCTGTAAGTGAAAAATACGTAATATGTAACTTGGAGGATAAAAATTATTACATTAAATAACAAAATCAAAATTATGAGTGAAATTATATGTTCCCACTAAACTGTACATCAAACATAAAAAAAAAAATTATTAAGTTCAGACCAATATTTGTTCAATCAATAGTAATAAGAAATATTGATTAAAATTAATTGGTAATAATACAAAAGGGTTTCAAAATTTTAAGGGGTTATAACAATTTTAAACTGGAACATGAATAATCATACATTTAGGCATTAATTACTATAAAAAGAAACAAAAAATAATAAAAATACTAATTGCATTTAATAAGAATTATAAATGGTAAAAAACATACAAGACTTCTTATTGATATTGAATATCAACAAATATTACAATATTAACGACAAACAGATATATATTAAAAAAACATTATTTTTAACTTTTACAATGTAAAATTTTGGACTATGTAATGGAATGAATAATAAAATAACAAATCTAATCCGAGGATGTACTATGATTATCATTTAGAAAAAAACAAATGCTACTATAGGATCATTAATCATTTACATAAACACCAGTCCAACAAAAATACTCACATAATGTCTGATGATTTTCAGAATAATTTTATACAACTAGTTACTAATTGTATGAAATATAGATTTTTTTTTGCTTTGTTTTTTTTTTTTAATTTGCTCCATTCTTTATGAACTTATGAAGCTTTCTAATTTATAAAGAAACAAGACACAGCCATAGATAGTTCTCTTTTACTTATTTTATAAAAGTAGTCTTTTTATTTATCGTTCTTCTAAAATAATTGTTTCCTGAGCACACAGACCAATATCCTGAAGTAAAATCTCTCCATCAAGCGAAGATAACTGTAACAGAGAAATAAAAGTAATAGCTGGAAGGAAAGGGTTGGATATAGATAGAAAATAAAAATTATTCTGGAACAAGTAATCCAGTCAATGAAAGCTCAGAAAAGGGGTATAGAAAGAGAAGGAAATGGCGGCGACACAATTTTTTATTTTGGGACATTGTGTGGACTAGCTAGTGAAGAGGTAAACATACTAAAAGTCCCCACTCCTAGGTGGTGAGCCAAACGTGAGAGAGGGGCGCCTAGAAGGTCACTTTTTTCAGGTTTTCGCTTATATCAGAACTATCCATCGCATTGACAAAGACATTCTGCACAAAATTAAAGCTGATAAAATTTGCAATATGATTGATAATATACCTTTATTCACTACCTCTCTTAGTTTCCGAGATATCTGTTCTCAACTATGGCTGATTTTGAAAAAAAAAAAAAAGTTGTCTCATGTTTATCGCTGTTTTTTAACTTTTTGCTTTTATCAGGAAAACTATCCATCCCATAAACAAAGAAATTCTACACAAAATTAAAGCTCCTAATATTTGCAATAGTTGAGAACAGATATCTCGGAAAATAAGCGAGATAGCGAAAAAACGTATGTAATCAAACATATTGCAAATTTTATCAGCATTAATTTTATATAGAATGCCTTTGTCGATGCGATGGATAGTTTTCCTGACATAAGTGAAAGCTCGAAAAACAGCAGTTAACAAGAGCAGGGTGGCTACCAAATTGTCAGAATAAAATTCCCTGACTTTTCCCTATTTAATGAAAGTTTTCCCTGACCAATATGTCAGAGGACACAAATGTTTGAAATGTATAGTTTATAACTATAACTAAATATCTAAAGCCTTCCACCCTGGAAAAGCTTTGTATAGCTTCAATGGTGTTGAAAGGGTGGAACTAAATAAAAAATGCGGCAAATTATTTCACAATGGTTTACTATTTCCAAACAATAATACATCTAAAGTAACAAGTAACATTAAATTACTTTCCTAGTGACAAAGAAAAAGAAATAAAGGTGATTCCAATTATTGGACTAGACATTTTTTTTTAATAATTAGTCATCATCAACATCATATTCCTGATCCCAATACCGCAGTGCAGTGTGGGCTATATCTTGTAGAGCTTGGACCAGGTTTCCCTTTCTTGAGCCAACTCTGTTCTCTTACTCCAATCCATACCTCGCTTCCTGAACGCCTCTTGTACACTGTCTTCCCAGGATATGCGTGGTCTTCCTCTAGGTCTTCTTCCCTCCACACAGGTCTCGTATGTCTTCCTGTCTGTTCCCTCTTGATCCATTCTAAGAAGACGTCCGAACCATCTTAGCTTGTGCTCCTCTAGGATGGTTTCAGCCGGTTTGACCTCGAAGCTAGTCCGTACAGTGACGTTCCGGACCCTATCTCTTCTGACCTTTCCCGCAACCTTCCGAAGATATCCCATCTCCATGGCTTGAATTCAACTTTTGTGTTTTGAGGTGAGGGCCCACGATTCAGAGTACGAAAGGATAGGGAGAAATGTCGATTTGTAGACTGCTACTTCAGTTCATTTTGTTATGTCTCTTCTGCCCAGAAATCCCCTCCGGAGCAGACAGAACACTCTGCCAGCTGCCCCGATTCTTTTACTAACCTCTTCATCAACATAACCATGTTCGTTGAGATGAGCACCCAGATACTAGAAATTATCTACATGCTCCAATCTCTCACCACCCTCATTATTCTCCAGGGCTTCTTCCCTATCTCATACATTTAGTTTTACCTGGGTTAATCTTCATGTTTATCCTGGCTATTTCTTCCTGGAGGATCTTGATGTTGTATTGGAGGTCTCGATCGTTGGCAGCTAGCAAGACTAGGTCACCAGCGAATGCCAGCACAGAGAATCTTGTCGGTAGCAGTTTTCGGTGTCCTAACTGGAACTGCCTAATCCTTACTTTAGCCTTTTTAAGTGCCATGTCTAAAACTATTAACGAACAGTAGCGGGCTTAAGCTACAAACTTGTCGAATACCTAATGTCGTCTCGAATTCTTCTGAAATATGGTTCATGGTCTTAACCACATTTTTGGTCTTGTTATAGAGACTCATCACAGCCAAAATCGTTCCATGATCGGTCCCTCTTTCAGACAATAAACTTTACTGGGTACACTGAGAAACGATATTCCTCGATGATTCACATACTCTCTATTATCTCCTTTCTTATAAATGGGCACGATCACTGTAACTTCCCACACTTTCAGAATTTTCTTTTCCTTCCAAATCAGGTTCAGAAGATGGAGGAATATCTCTTGGCCTTTGCTACCCATGAATTTAATCATTTCGGGACTGATTTCATCAAATCCTACCTTTCAAGTCCGCTGCAGCACCAAATCCAGTTGAGGCTGGTGTTCCACAAGGCAGTGTCTTAGGCCCACTTCTCTACATTCTTTTCACAGCTGACATACAAACCCATCCTGATTCCCTTCTAGCAACATTTGCTGACGATACCGCCATTCTATCATCCCTCCTAGACCCCGAAACAGCATCCCTAAACCTACAAAGACACATCTCCCTTTGTATGCTAGTGCAGTGGTGCCCCTAGTGCAGTGGTGCAACAATTGGTGCATCAAAATCAATGAATCCAAATGCAAGCAGGTCACCTTTACCCTCCGACGCTGATCCTGTCCACCTAATCCTTTTCAACTCAGTACCTCTTCCCATCTCAGACACAGCTTGGTATCTTGGATTCCTTTTTAGGCAAAAGACTAACATGGAACCCACATACCAGACTTAAAAGACAAGAACTTAACCGACGATTTGGCCAGTTATACAGACTACTTAACAGAAAATCTAACCTCTAAATTGAAAACAAACTATTAATATACAAGACCATACTGAAACCCATCTGGACCTATGGACTTGAACTGTGGGGGACAACTAAATTTTTGAACAGCAAACGCATACAATCCTTCCAGTCCAAAGTCCTTCGTACAATAGTAAATGCTCCTTATTATGTTACAAACAAAACTCTACATCATGATCTTAACATCCCTTATGTCCTTGACGTTATTCCATCCCGTTTCTCAAATTTTCATCAAAACCTAATCCATCATCCTAATCCCTTAGCACAATCCTTATCCAGCTCCAGCCATCCCTACAATCCTCCTCGAAGGTTAAAAAGGCAGTGGCCAGCTTCTCCACTCAAGTCATGAGCGTGCTTTCTCAGTCTCCACTGGATCTCCATCCCAGTGATGCGGCTGAGAGAGAAGCGCTGGGATCTCTTAGAGTCTTGCCTTATCTTCCATACGTGGGGGAAAGGGCCCGACTTGGAGCTCCCTCGGCTGACTGTAAATATTGTAAATAAGCATGAATGTTTTATTTATTTATTTTTCTCATTTATTTTTGTTTTGTTTTTATTTGTGTTATATCATATTTTATTTCATCTGTTCCTTTTTCGTATTTTTGTAATAATTTCTATTATTTTTGTAATTGCATATATTGTATGAATGAGTTACTTTTATCTCAAATACTCAATGCCCTTGATTGAGGCAAAATGTATTTTTTCTCAATAAAAAAAAAAGAATAAAAAAAAAAAGAATTTCATGGCGTTCATCCATTCTGAACGGGTGATTTCTTTTCTGTCATAAATAAATTTATTGGTCCATGGATTAGATTTAAAATGGGACACACCAATTCCCTGCCCCTTGCATTTAATCCACTTATCAAAGGACTTATGCCTCAGGGACTGTCTCACCTTCCTAACTGTTATGCTTAAAGACCTAAACATAATATGGAAGAACAAGGAAGTCCAAAGAGATTGGGAAGTGTCTGTTATCATACCTATATTTAAAATCGGAGATTAGAGAGAATCAGAATTATAATAAGTGTAACATGTAAAATATATTCCAAATCCTTAAAAGATTCCGTAGAAATGCAGTGGAATCAATACTGGGAGATCAGTATGGATTTAGAAGAAACAGAAGCACCCAGGATATCTTCATTATCTTCTTGTCAATAAAAATATCAGAGGTCATAGAAAAAGATAGGAAAGTCTTTACCTGTTTTTTCAATCTCACAAAGGCCTTTGACAGGATCAGGAAGAAAAACAATGTAACAGCACTCAAGGAGAAAAAAGTCAATATGGGAATTCAAAAAGGAATTCTAAATCTCTACAAGAAGCAGCGTAAAGTGTTGAGATCAAGTAACCACACATCAAGAGAATTTGGGACAACCCTAGGCATCAGACCCTTAGGATGTAGCCTCATTCCACTGCTTTTCATTATAATTCTGGACACAGCCCTGAACAGAGCTAAATAAAAGTCAAGACCCTATAGCTTGGGATACAGAAACCTTAGGCCAACCCATCTGGTTTACTTGTATTCGGGGAAGACTTAATTTTATTTGCAAACAACTGCAGGAACCTTCACTTCAACATAAATATTCTTCAGGAAGAATTAGAAACTATCAATATTAATGCTAAGAACTATAAATGCAGCAAAAACAAAGATATTAAGAATGGAAAGGAAAAGCGAACATGAGGATTGGGTGGTAAGTCTGAACCATACAAGGTTAGAGCAAGGAAGGAATCTTAAATAAGTTTTTGCTCACCTGAACAAATATGGATGAGTAGACATTTAAATAATGGATAATTGAAATCAATAAAAAAGATAAAAATTGCCAGCAAGTTTGTTTGTTTATTTGGGCTTTTAGGCGTAAAACCCTAGAGTCATCAACGCCTGTTTGTTCATTATTTTTGTTCCCTGAAGTTCATAGACTCCTTATAAGAGAGAAAAAAAAAGAAAAGAAATAAGTATATATATATATATATATATTATATATATATATATATATATATATATATATATATATATTATATATATATATATATATATATATAAAAGAAGAAGAAAAGCTCCAGGAATAGACAACCTACCATCAGAATTGTTCAAGGATGGGGGAGAAGAACTCAGAGCCAAGCTATTAGATCTAATCTAGAAGATATGGGAGAAGGAACGGATACCAGAAGCATGGAACACAG